CCCGAGCTCAGAGGATGAAAGAGACCACCCGCGGAGGGTGAGAAGGGAGTTTTTTTTAATATATATATGTATGTATATAAAGCTGTTTTACTCTGACCTCAATCAGGCATAAAAGGTCTCTAGTGATGTGTCTAAACAGACAAATTTGCCAATAACCAGTTCTAAACTAAAGAAATTGCAGTTTCAATAATGCCGTGTTAATGCTAAGTGCCGAAGTGCTAAGTGTCGAAGAACCTGCAAATGACAATAAATGAATTTTGAATCCTGAATCACTTTGCTGAAATTTGCTTATAAAGCCAAAACAGTTCGAGCAGAACAGAAGCTGAAAGGAGCAAAATGGTAGCTGAAAACAATTAGTCGCAAAGTAGCAAAATACTAGCTAAAACCTAAAAGAAGCACATCAATAGTTGAAAATAGCAAAAAAAAAATGGTAGAAAAATAGTTAATAGCAAATGACTACTGGTACTTAACAGTTAAAATATAGTAGCTAAAAGTAGAAATATTTTAGATCCTCGTGCTTCACTGTCCTGCATGCATTTAGCTGTTTCCCTGCTTCAACACACCTGACTGAAACAAATGAGAGATTAACAGGCTTCTGCTAAACTTGGCAACATTCTGAGTAAGTAATTAAATTATTTGAATCAGGTGTGCCAAAGCAGGGAAAACAGCTAAAACCTGCAGGGCAGTGGAGTCATGAGGAACAGGGCTGAAGACGCTCTGTTCTAACAGCCGAAAAAAAAACAAAAAGCTATTTTAAACTGCCACGGTGAACCAGTTTCTCATCATATGTCATTTCATGGTGTGTTGTTTTACCAGCACAAGACCCAGCAAAGTGACTTAATGACTCACCTGGTACATGGCATACTTGGGTACAATGCTGATGCTGCGGAGAAACCTGTTAGTGTTCATGAAGATGATGGCAACAGGCCAAAGGGAGACGATGGTGAGGACACCGATGAATGGGTTCAGCCAAATGGCTGCTCCAGTAATCTCTAACTAAAAAACAAAACAAAACAAAAAAAGTCAGGTTTGTGTTATTTTTTAGTACTTTCAGCTTAAGATGAATGTTTCAAACACTCACATCAGAAAGGTCGAAATTCCCATTAGTCCACAACACCACAGCGAGGACAGAGAGCGCTGTTTTTAGGATTGCATACTGCAGAGCTCCCACTTTTAAAATGAATAACATCCGTCTAAATGTTTTCAATGCAAAAAGACACCAGRGTTAGTGTTTGCAGTCATTGTGCAGCCAGTATATAAAGAGAATCGAGAGCAAAAGAATAAAATTGAGAAATGATGACGGGGCAAAAAAAATGTATCAAGGAACACTGTTTTCAATTCTTAAAAGTAGAAGAGTAAAAACAATTAGAATGCTGTTTTATGGAAAGTACCGTGACATTGGAACTTGGGGTAAACAGCAGCAGCAGCAGCAGCAGGGTCCTGTGTTGATCCTGAAGGGTTTCCCAGAGAACCGGTGCAGAAAATCTGTGCTGCCTCCCAACTCCTCGATTAACAAGACTAAGACTTTATAAACCACAACTGCAAAATAACTACACACAGGAAGAGGCCGTTATTAAATTACGGCAATAATAAAATACATTTAAAAAGAAGAATAAAATCACTAAAAATGCTTTATTTAACTTGAAAATAATATACAGTTTAGATACTCATTCAAAGGAAAACTTCCAGAAAAAGACTGCTGAAGTGAAAAGAAGCAGTCGCAGATTAAAGAAAACATCTGTATTTTTTTATCTTACTAAAATGACAAGTTGATGTGATTCATCCTCATTTCTGAAGAAAACACTTTGGCTGTGCATTAGTTTAGATGTGAAGAAATAAAACATACGAGTTAGATGCCATGTCTGTGATCATGACAGCCCGAGGAATCCACATCCCGAGACAGGCCATGGTGCTGATAGCCTAACACAAAGAAACACAATATCACTGTAAAACTAAAACAAGACTGTGAAACTAAAGTTCAGAACATTCAAAGTAATATCACACTTTTAAATCCTTCATTTGGGGTCTATATAAAGTGGAACTGCAATGCTTTGGTCTGAATTCCTCCTTACTGTAACTCCACAAGCCCCTCTTTCACCCCTTTTCTGATGTGAGTCTCAGATCAACTCATTTTGAGGCTGTCTCCTTAAATACAAACAAGGTGCTTCATCCCCTGCCCCCCTCCAGCTTCCGGGCCCATCAATAGAAGACTTGTCCATCCYGCCTTTAATATTGGAGCCAGAGACTGACSCAGAGGACAATGAAAACAGCAGAATTYTAGTTTATAAGTCCTGACCATATTTAGAAGTTCCATCACAAGTACTGACGTAAAAGTTCAGAAAGTGTCATAGCAAATAGAAAAATGAACCAAACAGAATATAAAGGTATCTATGCAGCACCAGGAGAGACTACATTAAACTTTACTGCACTCCTACAGCCTCTAAGGACACAACAACAAAAAAAAACCTAAAAACTTAAAAAGTATTTGGCATGATATGTCCTTCTTAAACTGCGGTTCTGTTGAAAAGTTGAGATTAAATCAGAGCATTAATTTTGTAGTTTTTTTTAATGATCTCATACTGGAGGATCAGTGTCTGGAGGAACTATCCATGCAGGACAGAGGTTACTGAACTCGTAAAAAATTCCAATTAAATTTTTTTCCATAGAAGTTCGTGTGAACGCTATTTCACAAACCTTTACGACATCGTCAATTTTACATTGCACAATTGTTTACAGTGCAGTTCAGGACACTTCCAGGTGCAATATTGGACTATTTCTACTAGAATGGCTATGCTGTGCAAAAGAAAAGGTGTAAATATTTATAAAATAATGTTCGATAGGGGAGTAAAAATACATTGATGTATCAYTTAAATMAWTGATCCAATTACATCCTGYCAAAACTAGAACATTGATGCATAATGATATTGCCTTATATGGGCATATCACATTGTATCAAATGGTTTGCAGACTTGTGAACTGAGCTGAATCAAAATCGRACCATGACAGACTTTTATATCGAGAAACATTGTATCTTCATCCAAACAAATCAATTTAATGCTGCTGGTGATTTACACTAGTGTTTGGGTAAAGTTTTGAAATTGGACTTGGTCCTCTCTTTTGTTTCTTCCAAACACAGCTCGTCAATCTAGTCAGAACTTCACCATTTTTTAAAAAAAATCGAGGCCTTTCAAAGATCCATCTACAGCAGGTAGGATATTTATTGTTTAACATTTCCCTTGATCCTCATTTTAAATAATCAAAAGCATCTGTCTGTTTAATTTTTGTTTTGATTTACAAATACACTATAACACTGTAACACTATACTGTTGCAGTTCAACAGGACTTGTATTCCTGCATGCTTACTGGTGCTGCACCACTTATCCAAATGATGGTGGTCTTCTTGGGATAGGGCGTCTTTTTGTAAACAAACCAACACTGCTCCAGGTACAGCAGCAGGGTCAGACAGGACATGAAGGACAGCATGGCGTAGAGGCACATTCCAAACACATCTAGTTCTGATTCAGAAAAAAAGAAAAAGAAAAAGAAACAAAGAGACAGGGATGTTGGTTAACATTACATATTGCTGTAAACACAACATACACAAAGTCAGGGCAATGTTCAGGTTAAACTGACTGATAAGAAAACATTACCAGCAAGGAGGATAAAGTAGGTCACTTACGGTTTATCATGTCTATAGCTAGAGGAGGTTCTTGTAAACAAGCTGGGTCAATGGTGCTGTTGAGTGATTCTTCCATGGCGCGCAGATCTTCCATTTGAAACAGTTCCTAATTAGACCATTCAGTGGTTTGTAGCCTGCAGGAGTCACACTCCCTCCTCTTTACGTTTCCAGCAGATTGTGGCGACAAACCAAACTGACCTTTAGACTTAAGGTGACTGTGATGGAGTGAAGGTGGGGTGACAGATGACCCAAGTCAGTTACCGTTGCTTATTCATTCACAGACTTGAATCGTAGTAGAGGAAAAAACAAGGTAAGCCTTTTTTTTAAGAGAGAAACATAATGAGTGTGAAAAGGAAGTTGGACTTTAGCAAGGTGTGGTCATTCCTTTCCTGAAAATATTAAAACGGTGTCAAAAGCTTTTAAGACCGAGTTTCGTTAAACTGAGAAAGCCAGCAGCAGAAAGCGCAATATTTAAATACTATTCAGGTAATAAACAGGAAAAGTAATGATTTCACCTTCTGCACAGTTCATGTGGTGCTTACAAACAAGCCCCATCATTCAGGACGGGAACGCACTGTTATAAAATTTTGGATAATCTATAATCAGAGCGCTGCAACTCATCTCCTCTGAATCTGTTGGAAATGTGATTACACCAAATAACACGGCGGTCATTCAACTTTTCTGGTTAATAAGGCTTATCCTGTTCCAGCTCAGTTTTTCTTTCACCAAAGATAACACCAGCTTTACTGTCTTAAAGGAGCAGAGTTGTCTGAACCCTTTAAATATTTATCTGTGCTCAGTATATTCACCTTTGCGTATCAGTGACTATAAAGATCAAGTTCCAGTGAGATCCTGCTTTTTTTTATTATGCTGATGAGGGAGTAAAATTATATATGTGCATGTGTATGTATACAGTGGTTTGCAAAAGTATTCATACCCCTTGAACTTTTCCATAT